CTGATGGCTTACTGATAACCTTAGTGTTCTTAAATATAACTCGTCTCACCATGCGTCCATTGACCCACAAACTTGCAACTCCGTGGTTGTAATCGTACGTAAGTCCAACATAATACCACCTCTTCGGATAGAAAGAGGTAAAATAAATTTTCTTTCTGTAAAAGTTGCGGCGGCTGTGAATAAGACCCACTAGTACTTTGTGGTGTGTCATCCAAAGGCCAACGCCATATCCTCCTCTTCGGTAGTTGATGATAGGACCAGATGTGCCTTCTGGGAAAACCCACATAAATATTGAGATAGAACTGTACGCATCTAGTTTGCCACCAGCTTTATTTGGGAAGTCAATGTAGCTGTCGGATGTTCCCTTGAGGTAAAATGCTCCACCGGCTCTCCCGTAGGGTCCGGAGACGCTGTTTACCGAACTTAAGTAACCTGTGGGAGCTCTCCGTGGGCTAATATCCTTTCCACGGGTTTGCTGGTTAAGTGGATAAATTCCAAACGCCATGGGAAGGGCTGTAAAAAATACATCACTTAGTTTTCATTAAAATTATGATCGCATTATCAATCGAAACTCGAGCATGAGCAACAATGGGTATCCTGTCAATTAGCCGGTGGAGGTATTTGGGTCGAGTGATTAAATGGAACTCTCGGACAAGACACTTTACTCTATCATAGAGCCTCTCTTCACCCAGGAATATAAATGTGTAACGACAAATTGTCAGGGGAGCCTGATAGAATGCTAAGGGTAACCTTGCGATGGACTAGCATCCCCTACAGGGGAGAGTAGAATTAGTCCAGGTCACTTGAGAATATCGAATATCGCCACAAGATTGGCTCAAACTCCGGCTGGATGGGTTACTCGGCACGAGTACAAACTTAACCTTTACTCAGGCAAGGCATTGTGTAAGGCTAAATTTGTTTCCTTACTCTAAGCTAAGAGGGTAGAAGTGCTAACACTTGATACAGAAAAGCAATTTACCTATACTGACCTCGTTTTGAGAGGCATAATATTTTGAGAAAAAAAAACGGTATCAGTCAATAGTGAATTTCAAACTTATTGTTTTTTCCATTTGAGACAAACTTCATTACACACTCACCATTTTTACAAGTTGTTGTTGCCAATCCTGAAATAACACTGCTGAGGGTACTAAACCTACTGGATCGAAAGACGTGAGCTGGTTTTTGAACCAGCAACCTCAACTCGTACTCCTTCACAAACTGCCCTATGGCCAAAGCATAAACTTGCACTCCTTTGGCTCTCAAAGGCAGAACCGCTTTGTCAAGAGGGATTGAATCTGCCGTGCGGGTCTGATAACCGTCCGTCATTACAATCAGTATCTTAGGTACATTGCTCCGTTCTCCACCGTCAATAGAAAACACCTCTTCTGCTGCCTTTTTTAGTGCCAGATCGATTCTTGTATATCCACGGGGATAAGGAATTTGAGAAACTGCTCTGGAGAAACTTCGGAAGCTGGTAAATTGAGGGAACGATATTTTGACTTCAGCCCTTGTGCTGTACACTACTACTGCAGCGTGCGTTCCAGAGCGAGAAATTCCAAATCTTCCCACCGTATTTTGTATAAATCTCTTTTCTTGGTCAAACCCCCATGATCCAACACTGCCCGAGGCATCGATTGCAAAGGCTATGTCAACTGGACGTCTGCAAAATGCACCTGTGAACATGGAAAATTTTACAATCAATAAAGCTATTTTTGTTTATAGCAAGC